GATATTTTAAAAACAGTTTTGTTGATTAAAAAACACTATATCGGATTCATATCGGTATCGGCAGATATCCAAATTTATGATATCGGTATCGTATCGGACATAAAAAAGTGGTATCGTGCCATCTCTAGTATAAATGTCTCGCAGCCCCTTGGCAGCTGAGCAGTAATTGGAGTCATGTGCGGACGTATTTTACCTCCACAAACAGCTGAGACGTGGTTTGCGATACATGTGGCAAAAAAGTGAGGTGTTGTGGCCATACTAGAGAGACATTCAAAAGGGCTGTTGGGGGGTGATAAATACATTTTACAGGGTTTATTTAAGGGATAAAATACGTTAAATGTCACCGTTATCATTGGCCGGCTCGGAAACAGCGGGGGTGTCCAAATTCAGAGGCTACTTCCACCTGAGGACCCGGCCTTCGCGGTCTAAAGAAAGCCGGGTAGTACGGCACGAGCTCCCTCGGTGGAGTGAAACTCAACCGTCTGCTCCTTGCTATCTAAAATATAACCGGGCGCTTGCGTGAACTCTGGACTGTCTCACACTTTGTTTAATTAGTTTTCTGTTTGACGTTTATTCAGCTGTGTGATAACCCCGGAGGAACCCTCCCGTTAAATTTTATTTAATCTCATAACTTTAATCTCAGCCAAACCGATTTACTCACAAACATATAAAACACCAAAAAGCCAAACAATAACATTTTTAAGTTATCAAAGTGACTTATATATCATGTTTAACCCGAGTAGCGAAATACCGCGGGGGTTTGAAGACGATGTGTCGGTCGGCTCAGATATTTGACGTTTACAGAGCTACATTTTCACCTCAAAATATGTTAAACGTTTTTTTGCGACCCAGAAAGAGAAATAAGAGTAATATTAAAACTAAGTAGCTGCTGTCATTGTTGGAAACTGGAATTGGCTGGGCTGTGCTATGAATTCTGCAATATGGTTTTTCAATTTTGTTGTCCGGTTGGAAAATCGGGAGAAATTCGGGAGAATGGTGGCTCCGGGAGATTTTCAGGAGGGGCACTGAAATTTGGGATTCTCCCGGAAAAATCGGGAGGGTTGGCATGTATGGTTATGTCTGGCAACATCACTAACCTTGTCAAACACCTCAGAGTAAATCATATCACAGAATATGACGAGCATATGTTGAGGCGAACTGAAGAGGAGGAGAGGGACAGGTGCTGCTAGGGCAAGACACACGTCTCTCACAGAGTCCTTTAGTGCTGCAGGCAGGCAAGGTGTTCAAATAGCCACAACTTCAGTTTTTTATTTCTATATGATGAACTCTGCAACAAGTAATCTGACGTCCTGTAATCATTATGATGCTATAATTTGAGATACAATAAATAAAATAAGTTTTTGTACAAAGTATCGGTATCGGATCAGTATCGTTGATACCACCCTGAATATTACTTGGTATCGGATTGGAAAGGAAATCAGTGGTATCGCACATCACTACCAGATACTACTCTGGAAAGATGTGTGAGAAGCTTAATATAGATAGAAGCTTCCTGGCAGCTGTGACTGGTGGCATAACAGGAACAGTAGTGCTGACCCTGGCTATTGTATTCATTATCAGAAGACCACAGTAACTTTCACTTGAGTGGATGACATTTTCTCTGCATTTGTTCATTAATGAAATCAAAACTGTCATCAGTACTGGAGTGTAATGTAGCTGAAACTTTAACTTTGAAATGTAAATTTGTTATATTAGGGCTCATTTGGGAGGGAGATGGATTGTGAATGTTTCCACCTGCAAAGATTATTGTATCACATAAACCTTTCCATTGATTTTTGAAATAACAAGGACCTTCTATTAGGCATCAGGATTAGAAGCAATATAAGGACCAGGAGTAAATTGAGCCACTCCACTCAAAGGTGATGTCCCAACATAACATTATAAAAACAATGATTTGTCTATTTGTATGTGACAGTGATTTTTTTTAAAGGAAAATGTAAGGTTGGAATTCAATTTCACAACAAAAAAAGAATGTTATTTATTTTTATTTGAACAGATTTCAGATACATACAGTGGCCACACAGGGATAGTATACAGGTTATAGTTCACGCCAAACATAAATTTAAATATACAGTAATTCATCTTAAATACAACCATTAAACAAGTCCGGACTTGTTAAAGCATTTACTTTGTTCTATGCACAGTGAGCACTTGCACTCTTGGTCTACTTAATATCCAAAATCCAGTTAAGTCGAAGATGTACACAGTTAGTTATCTTTAATTTTACTTGGAATGGAAGAAAACAAATGATTTTTGCATCTACAAAGATAACTGACAAAATCTACCAACCTTAGCTAATAATAATAGCAAGAAGAATAGCTAGAAGTACTATGTGTCATGTACAAATATCATCGGAACCTTAGCGCTAATCATTGACAACAATGCTCTATTTAAAGGTATAGTATGCTACATTTTTTGGTTATTGCTAGCAAACACAATTTTCAAACTCACTACCAGATTCACTTCAGCCAAAGACAGTATAAAAGATGTTCAATGTTACCCGCTGGTTCCTGAAATCTCATTTGAAGCTTTAAGATAATTCTTTTGAGTGGCATTTTGGTGTTTTGAAACCTGATGTGAAGAGTGAAGGGTAGAACTGACCATGAAACTTGTGTTGATGTAGATATCGTGGGAAATTCTCTTTTCTGGCAAGAAGAATGACCTAGATTTCCAAGATGACTGGAAACGAGTCACTAAAACCCTAACCCTTGCCATTCAGGCTGTCATTTATGTCAAGGACGGCATTTAGTAATGACTGCAAACAAAAGTATAAGACAAGCCTCACTTTTACATCTGGCAGGTACAGCCATGTTTTACACTATCTGTCAATGCAGCTGAAGTGCATTCTTCGTCCTGTTTGCTGTTATTGTCCTGTATATGTGTTACAGTCAAGAAACATCAGTTACATGGCAAAATAAGAATAAATAAGAAAGGCAGGGTCTCTGGAGATAAAGACACTGTCATGCACTTCTAATTGGTCATAAATAATAACTAGACAGGGGTTCTATTGCTTTTTAGGAAAACTACATATAACTATAGATAATGATATGATTATAAACAACATTTAGTTAAATCTCCTTAAACAACGCACTGTAAATGTCAATGAACTACATACTAACTTAATGCTAACTGTATTCTCCTGTAGAGGGGTAGTTGGACAGGCGAGTTGTTAGTTCAGGATTCACAGTCTGAAAAGCAAAAAAATAAAACTTTTAAGACTCAACTTTAATTCACAAAAGATCATTTCTGCTTCCATGTGGTGAAGAAGTAATTAATGCTGACCATATGGGTACTATAACTGTTTGACACGAGAGCCTCGTGGAAAAACAGCACAACATTCAAATTGTGATCACAAAACCAGCAGAAAACAAGTATTCATATTGTTTCAACAGGTTCAGTGTGACCATGGTTTAATAACTCATTTTATTCAGTTTGGGTTACCCAGAAATCAAAATGTCAATTTCTGCTGCTTAAAAAGAAAGCAAAACCTTGAGAAATGTGTCTTTTCCACACTTTAGATAAAGCAAATAAACAGGGTTCATAACTTTGGCAATCCATGAAATGTTTATCATCCAACATAATCAAGGCAAAATTACAATTTCTTTCTTGGCTAAATTGTTGCAATTATTTGTAATTACCTTATCCCTTATCCCTAAACATGATATCTGCTAAACACCAACGTTATCATTTTAAGCATGCTAGTATGTTGATATTACACAACCTATGCCGTTCCACCGGAGTACAAGTGCAACCCTGCTACTCAGCCTTGTTATAGATTACTTTGTAAACACAAAACAACTTGTATTTGTGTGGTGGTTTACAGCAGCCATCAACAGTTAATAGATATAACCCTGAAAATGCGAGTTTAGTTACTGAAGGATCTCTCATCACTCAGGATTGATCAGTTCAGTGGGCTACCAAGTTTCAAGATAGAAATTTGGCATTATTAAAGGAATATTGTTAAGGACAATAGATAGAACTGACCTACATCTTCAGTGGTCTTTTGTGTACGTAGTTGAAGTGAATTTCTTTGTGCTGTCATTTCCTTTTGATTTTCCCTGAGGGAAGAGACCAGAAGTATTATCAACCATGTTTCTATCACTTTATCAGGCAATTCTGTATGTATCTCATTGTTGTGCTTACAGTTATGAGCTTGAACAGTTCCTCTCTGACCTGATAGTAACAATGTAGACAAATTGTTTAATACATTAAGTACATGGCAAATACTAAACACTTTCTTCTAACCATCAAATTTTTTTTATAAATATATCTAGAGTGATATCTGTTCCACTAAAATGATTAAACCTACCTTCTGCTCTGCAAAACACCCTGTGATCAAAATAAAAAAACCCTGGAAGAGAGAAAAAATACGTAACATGTCTAAAAAGACACAATGGTTTTCCTTTTGAATCAGGTTTGCAGTTTTTATCAGCAGAGACAAGAGTTTAAGGGAGTTATATGTCAATGGGAAAGTTAGATCTGTGCATTGCCATTGAATGAAGTTTTCTGATCATCATCAGAAACTTGGATATTGATAATTAACTCAACTTTAATACATGGCTTTATTTTTACTTTTAAACAATGAAATAATGAATGTTTTAAAATATGTTACTTCTACAATTGATCAACAATGAAAAGCAAAAAAATATAACTTTTAAAGAAAAAGAATTATAAAAAAAGACAATTATAATTTATAAACTATAATAGAGGGAAATGGAGATTTGTCCATTGTTGATTTTCTTATTCATATTTGTGAATGTTTTAGATCATCAAATACATTTTTTGAAATAATTATTACCTAAATTTGCTTGGTATGTGCTAACTGTGCATTCAAATTACCTGGAAGGTATTAAGGATGGTGAAAATGTAGGTGATAACGTTATAGATGGGGCTATCAGACATGATGAGTTGCATGAAGCCAACAATCCATGTCACTCCAAAGACAGGTGTTAGAACAATCACCACTTTGAGGATGCCTTTTGCCGTTTCCTTGTCATCGGCCTTGCTGCTGTCAGGGACTGAGGTCTTCATCAGTGTAACGATGACAACAATCATGGAAAAGAGATTTGCCAAAACAATGGTTCCCACAGGCAGGAGAAAAGCATGCATGGAGCCAACCAAGAGTTTTACATAAACTAGCCAGCATGTTTTGCTGTCGTAGTAGTCCTGGTTGGTGTATTTGCAGTACACATAGCTGGATCCCACCATTAGGATTGGGCAAACATAGCCTAAAATGCTGGAGAGGAACATGAAAACTCTTTTCCTCAGTGGGCTGAAGACAAAGATGAGCTGGTGGACAAGCATGATGCTCAGGCACAGCATCCAGCAGAACATAGCCAAGAAAAAGAGGTGTTTGCATATGGTCAGTACTAGACACCAGCTGTCAGTTAAAGTCTTGGGATTGCTAGAAGCCAAGAAACTGCAATCTGCAAGCAAGAGGAACGTGGCAATGTTCACTATAGCTGTGTGCCGAAAATGAGAAAGGTTAGTCTTGACCACAGCTGACCACACCAGAGATTCAATGATGAGAAAGATCACCAAGGAGCAAATGGACACACCAAGGCCAATATTTGAAATAAGTTCAAGGATAGGATCTTGTTTTCCTCCATCACCCTTGGACATTAGGACAGAGAATGCAGTTAGGTGGTTGCACTCACATATTGTGTGGTTTTCATCAGAAATGCTGATATTGCATCCTTCATCTGACCATTGATTCCTTGTGGTGTTCCAGAAGACACAGTGAGGTTGAGTGGGGTTGGTTTTCCCACTGGGGAAGTCCAGTCTAATTTGTATAGTTGAATCACTATTATTGTCCAGTGTGGCTGATAATATGAGGTCGGTACGTTCAGGTTGTATGCCATTAAAGCTGTTATTTAATTTACTCATTAGATTTTTCACAGCTACAGTTTTCAGTATTCCATTGGTCTTGTTCATATTCACACCAATGTCAAACACAGACACATCACAGTCATTACTTCGACAGAATGTAAGGTCTAGATTTGTACTGTTGATTCCGTCGCTCTGGTTGACCTTAATGTTCTTCACTAGACCTTCCACAGACTCTAGGTAGTTTGATGACATTTTATAACGAATTGTGTCATTTACCCCACTCCAGGTGCCATTCAACATATTGCTTGCTGCACTAACAAAATCCTGAAAGACAGTAAAATAGAAAATAAACTTAAAAAATTTATTTGACTGAACAGTGACTTTTCACACTTTCTCAGTTGATGCTAGGACCCCTATTCAGGCGTAATCCGCTTGGGTGTACAGTCAAGGATCTTTAAGTACTGCATGGTCTGTTGTTGAAATTTAAAGTGGAAGAGAAACTACATGTATAAAGGGTCATTTCCACTACAGAGCCCTGTTCTGGTTAGTTGTTGCTAATAGACTTACATCATTTATGTTAGCTAATTAGTAACAGAACAAGTAACATGTTTAGAAAGAGTTATATGTTGCTGTATTGACAGTTAGCTGCATCACAGAGTCGTGAAGGACATTATTTTAGCAATTCTTTTGTTATTCTATTATTTCTTAAAGGTCTTACTGTAGATTAAAGAAAATGTAACATATTTAAACTGATGAAACTGATAATCTGCCATATTAATCCATATTATACAGTTGGTGGACATTTTTTCCTGCAGAATAGGTACTTGTACATTTTTATTGACTTATTTCCATTGTGTTGTATTATTGGTATTATTCCTCTAACTATCTTGACGTGACATGAGTAGTAGAATGTAGAATGAGTATATGTTGAGGATTATTTGAATTTCTACTTCTAAAATGAAGTCTGAACTTTTATAGTCAGAACTAAGTATGTATAACAGAAAAGGTAGATGTGCTTACAGGAAAGATATCCTCTCCCAACACAGTTGTGTTTGATGCGTCGGCCATCATATTTAGAACACCGATGGAGGCGCTAATGTCAGCAATACTTTCACCAGATCCAGAACTTAATGTCGAGCTGTTCTTTAGCCCTTCAAATATATTCTTGGCCACCTCCGTGGTGGCCCCTAGTCCCTTCAGGAAGGCCTAGATAAAGGAATTAGTGTGTAAAGAAAAGAAAAATCCTATAATTCTATTTTATAGTTCACAACAGTAAGCACAACAGACACTTTATTTTAAAGTCTTGACATACTTTTACATTTGGATTTGTATGAGTTACATGCAAAACATTAAACAAAGCAGTAGTTTTACATATGCAATATGCTACGCTGTGTAATTGAAATCGCTCCAGATTTGACCATACTCCTTCTAAATGGTATGATCTATATAGCTTAGTTTTGGAGTTTATTAAATTTTACTTATAATGTTGGGTGAAAATGGTAACAAATTGCAACAAAAACCTCTTCGTGATTAGTTGCCAGCAGATATCTGTAGTTTACATGAAAAATGCCAATTTGTCTGTCAAACACTCACCATTTTATTCTCTTAGTCGTAGTGACAGTATGATGCAAACAGTAAACTGAAGACTGAGTTGAAATGTATTGGTTGCATTAGTAAGGAATACTTTATCAGTTTCTGGTTTGTGTAAGTGTATTTGGAGCCAAGTTAGCATCTATTCTGTAAACCACTGGTTATTGTGGGAACCTGCTGGTGACTAAAGCAATTCACTCTAGCTTCCGTCAGCAAACTTCCAGTTACTACTTAATACTGGAATACACTTTTTCCGTAGCAACTAGTGGTCACCGACCAGTCTCTAGGCCTGTGTGACTGAGACCTAGCCTCAGCAGAGAGCTGAGAGTATGAACTTTAAAGTCAAGGTGAACTAAGATGAAAATTTACAAACCTTTATCATTGCAGTTTCAGAAACTAAAAATACTGAAACACATACACAAATGCAAACGAGAGCAAACAAAAACGTATTATTGTAATGACAAATAAAGACACACTCACTTCAGCTGCATTTGAAATTTTGTTCAATTGTTCACTGACGCAGCTTGAGAACACTGCCTGCCAGGCTGGGCCGTTACAAGGTCGGGACTTATAGCCAACCGTGCCTGCTGGGCATGTTCGAATAATCACTGTGTCTCCAGCTGGGGTTTTTGGCCATGTATCTTTATCCAGTAGCTCCTCTTTACAAAATGGCTTCCCAGCTTAATAATAAAAAAAAAAAACATTAGGAAAAAGAAAATAATATTATTAATTATATTTATATCATTAGCTGGTGCAGCATAGGCCTTTGCAAACATATGCAATTCTAAAGCCTGAGAATATGTCATTATACTACACATGAAATTTACAATAAACAGATTAAAGTAGACCCATTATACATTTCAGGCATATATTGCTGAATATTGGGTAGCCAGTCAGTTGAAAGTTGGCTTAAAAGAAAGGTGGTATTATTGGAACTGTTTTTCAGACAAGATTGCACCAGCCCCTGGCATAATAGTAGAATAGAAATCTGGAGCTGGAATGAGCATAATAAGGCCCCTTTAAACATATTTAAAATAATAGACAATTTAAAGAATCCTTACCATAGATAACTGGGATGTTCAATTGTGCACTTTTAATTTGACCGATTACATTCTTAAAACTGATATTAACATATGGTTCAATCGTTTGTTTGCAGAGGATGGCAGGATTGAATGTGTAGTTGACGTAACTGCTTGAAGCTGTAACAGAAGATGACATTTTTTTTAAGTGAATAAAGATTTTGTGCAGTAAGCTTTACACATATTTTGCATTACTGATTAATCTGAGTGTTTTTAATGACATAAATAAAAAACAACAAAAAAAACCCCATGTATTTGTTTCTGTTAGAATACTGAAAATTCAAGGAAAAAATCTTACTTGTCATTTTTACATCAGGAGACACATTACCATTGTAGCCCCACGAAATGGCATAGGTTGTATTGCTTGCTGGGATTATGGCACTGACGGTAATGCTTACACTTTCCTGATTTTCTGAACAGTCCACAGTAAGAGGCATGCTACTCAGGGTAATTGTATCAGGTAGGAGGGCCACACTCAGATAAGTCCTGCCTATGTGCCTGATTGACCCAATGGTAAATCCACACTCATATGTGCCTGCAGGGAACATAAGACAGTTACAATTATAATGGAGGGTTGGCCCTTTACACATTAATTGACATTTCAGTTAACAACACATGCAGGAAATGACAGGAGCTGAGCCACCAGTTGCCATATTACTGACCATAGTGGAAACAGCGCTGAGAGTATAAACAATATATGTCAAAAATATTACAATGCAAGTTTATAAAAAAATCAGATTCTTATTTGTTATGAACAGGTTCAGAGCAGAGCTGATCAAACAGTTTAAATCCATTGTGCCATTGTGCTACCCACACAAAGGATCAAACCAGTTTTTTTGACCTGTCCCCTCATCCCTGTTGAAAATCAATAAAATATCGATCACAAAAAAGAAAATAAATATTCAAACCTGTTCAGAGGAAGTGCTTCACAGGATTAATTCATTATACTATCTTGTTAGTGTGAGTTTATAACTAAGTGTATTTTGTATACTGATTTCATATCAGAGATGTTTTATCTCTAATCAAGAAAAAAGTGTAAACACTTGCCTTCCCAAGTGCCTGTCACCTTGTTGAGGGTAACACCAATACAAGATTGGAAGGTATTTGTGCTACAGATCTTATTCAGCTGGACCACACTGCCGTCGTTGAGCTCAAAGCGCTGATTCCCTGTGGTTAGATTCCAGCCTGCGCTGTCTGTGGCCTCCTCAAGTTTGCATGCAAGTTGTGGCGTGGACAGATAGCAAACTTGAGTCCCTGGGGCCTCTACAATGACCATTCCTGTGTTAAGATAATACATGGAAATATAAATTATAAAAATGCTAAAAAGGTCACTTTAAACTTATCCAATTTTAAATTTAGCCAACAACATTGTTTTGGAACATTTATGAACATTTATTTTATTCATACTGAATGGTTAGAATAGATAATGTCACAGTTCTGGGTCATTTTGACCCAGCATTTTTTGTTTTTTATATTCTGGTGTTTATCTGTATTATGATTTATGTTCCGATTCTTGGCTGTGGCTCAGGTGGTAGAGCAGATCAGCTACTGATTGGAAGGTTTGTGGTTCAAGTCCTGGCTTCCCCAGTCTGCATGCCAAATATCCTTGGGCAAGTTACTAACCCCAAGTTGCTCTCCGATGCATTCATCAGAGTGTGAATGTTGGTTAATTTGCACTTGATCTTAGAAGTGATTGTATGAATGGTGTGAATGAGGCATGTTGTATGCAGCGCTTTAAGTACTCAATAGCCCTAATTTCACCCAGCTGTCTCCCTCCTGTTTTTCATTCCCTGATTACTATGCCATTTATTTAAACCCTGTATTTGCCTTTGTCGCGTTGTACCCTCTAAATGCTGTGTGTTTGTGTTCCAGCTCCTTTGTTCTGAGTTGAATTTTGTTTTGCTTTTGTGACTTTTATTTTATGAGGTTTTTCCAGCAATAAAAGCTGTGTTTTGAGTTCCAGTCCCATTGTTGAGTGTCCTGCATTTTGGGTCCTTTTTTTCCTTCCTGCCTGCACACAGCCTATCATGACAGATAAATTGTAATAACCATGCATTAGTGAAAACTAAAATTAATTGGCCTTGAAGACAAATCATGGGGATATGGTAAGCTAATGTTACTGCAGCTAAATTGGTATGGTTAAATATATGTGGGCATAATATTTCATTTTGTTTTGTTTTTCCAATTTTTTCACATGTAGTTTTATTGATTCTGAAAAGACAGATCGACATATTTGACATTACTGGAATTAACTGAAGAACTCAAACATTTTATAGACAATAAAGAGTGTGCAGTTGGAATACCTCTAGATCTCAAAATGCTTTTGACACAATATATTATTAAACAAACTGGAAAAGTGTGGTATTAGATAGTTTGTGCTGAATTGGGTGATGAGACAGCAATTTGTAGATATAAATGAATACAAATCAACCTGCATGGATATACAATCTGGAGTTCCTCAAGGTCCGGTGCTAGGCCCAAAACATAAAATATTCATATGACATATGAGTCTCAAAAATAATAAAATGTTTAAGACTCATGCTACGTGTTCTCACTTTGTTGCACTTGTGGAAATATATGTTTTTCAGTGAGAGTTTACAGCAGCTTTGCTGAATGGTAAATGGCCTGTATTTGTAAAGCGCTTTACTAGTCCCTAATCAATCAATCAATCAATCAATCTTTATTTATAAAGCACTTTTCATACAAAAAAAATGTAGCACAAAGTGCTTTACATAGTTAAAAGCAGCCCACCCCACCCTCCAACTCACTCCCCACACTCTCATTAACATAAATGATGTGAATACACACATATCCCCCCCCACACACACACACATACACACACGCGCACACTTAAAGAGTAAAAATTGGGCTGGGCTCGCATGAGCCAAGTGAGGAAACACTATAACAGGGAGCCGTCTGCACCGGGAGCCGGTCACAGACCACAGCCTCCAGGCTGGGCACACAGCAGGAGGGAGGCCAAGGAGCCCCCCAGCCAGGCTGAGAGGACCCCCAGAAACCCAGCAGCCACAGTCGATCACAGCCCCGGTGCAGAGAGCGCCCTCTGAGAAAATATGACACAATAGGATATATACAGGGTAAAATGATATATACAGGGTAAAATGATAAAATAAATAAGAACAGGATACAATATAAATATAAATATAAATAGAGTAAGAAGATTAAGAAATGAATAAGAATAAAATCAATAAATATTAGGTAAAGTCTAAATTAATAATAGAATAACAGGATAGAATAAATAAGCATAAAATAAATAAACGTTAGGTGAAAGCTAAATTAAAAAGGTGGGTCTTGAGCCTGTTCTTAAAAACATGTACGTTCTCTGCGGCCCTGAGCTCCTCCGGCAGGCTGTTCCACAGACGAGGACCATACCACTGAAAAGCTGCCTCTCCGTGAGTATGTGTCCTGACTTTAGGGACAGTCAAAAGGCCAGTACCAGAGGACCTCAGGGTCCGCGAGGGTTCATACGGTAAAAGCAGATCTGAGAGATAAGAAGGCCCAAGACCATTAAGACATTTAAAAACCAATAAAAGAACTTTAAAATCGATCCTGAAACACACGGGGAGCCAGTGCAGCGATTCTAAAACCGGTGTAATGTGGGCCCGCCCTCTGGTCTTCGTCAGCACACGAGCTTCCGAGTTTTGCAAAAGTTGTAAAGTTCTTCTTAGGAAGACCAGAGAGCAGGGCATTACAGTAATCAATGCGACTGGTAATAAAAGCATGCATCAGCATCTCTGTGTTGGCCCGAGAGAGAATTGGGCGGACTCTGGCTATATTTTTTAGATGATAAAATCCAACTTTGGTTACATGTTTAACATGTGGGATAAAACCAAGCTCAGAGTCAAAAATAACACCCAGGTTTTTCACTTGTAGCGAAGGACATAGTGAAAATGCCTCTAATTTAGACAAGAGTTTCTCTCTCTGAGCCTCAGGACCGACGATTAAAACTTCAGTCTTGTCCTGGTTAAGCTGTAAAAAGTTTTCTGCCATCCGAGGACCTTAAAGCGCTTTACACATTCAGTCATCCACCCATTCACACAAACATTCACACACTGTTAATTAAAAAAGAAGTGAGTAAATTTGGTTTGATATGAAAACTTTATGTAGCCCTGGCTATATAAATAGGTCATTTATTTAAATAGTTCATTTATATTGATAGTTAAATGCAAATGATCACTGTGTTCAATAATGTGTATACAAATGCCTGTAAGGTATGTGATGTGTGTCACTTAAATGCACAGCCTTTTTATTTGTATTTTGAGGTTTATGTCATTATTTTTGAAATGTTATTGATATGTACTACAGCTCCAGTGAACCCTGAAGTAGTCTCTGGTAGATGGGTGGGAGTAAGTGGGGAGTGCACTCTGCAGGAAGCGAGAGAGATGAGAGCTGAACAACAGTGTCGAGTGAACGCAGAGTTCATAGAAGGGCGACAGACGTATTTTCGGGTTGACGGATAGTTAACTATAGTGGAAAACTGTTGTACTCTACTGTGAGTAGGAGGAGACGGACGTCTTGCTGGTGTGTCAGAGAGGTCCCTTCTGCTGGTGTGCTGAAGTTATGTGTTCACGTGATCGCACGTGGAGACGATGACTGTGAGTGCTGCTGCCGGGGCCTGCTGGTAGCCTTGACCCAGTTTCCTCCACTATCCCCTTGAACTGCCTGGAGGTGTGAGTACTGTTGTTTGCACATGCTTTTTATTTTACTACTTGGCAACAAGTGAAGCGACCATATTGTTTTAGGTCCCAAAGCACCCGAGCCACGACTCAGGCCTGCAACGAGGGGTTTGCTAGCAGAAAGACTGTAGCACTTGAGGTGTGTGTATGTCGGTGAGAGTGCGTGTGGGCCCACAATATTATTTGATTATTTTGTTTCTGTTCAGGTAGATGGCTTACCATTGTTTATCAAACTTTATTAATTTTACTTATTTTCCTTGTGTTGTTGTTAACCAATTATTCACTAAAGTGGAGTTAACTTTATAATTGACCTGCTTGTGTGTGGTTTATTTCCATATAGTGTAGTTTTATTGCATACTTTATACCATAAGCATTAAAAAGGGAGTATCAGTAGAAAAGTAACAACAGGAACCCAGGGCCCCTCTCAATAGAATGTGGGATGGGTGTTACATTTAACTTTGCATTAAATGTAAGCAAAACAAAGATCATGTGCTTTGGAAAATGAAAACTAACTCATTAAGCATTGTTGCTAATGTATGGATAGAAAATACACTTGGGGTGTGAACAAAAACAGCTGGACGGCTCATTTTAGACATAAAAGCAAAAGAGCAAAGACTGTTGCATTGTTGGAAACACAAGTCTCATTCTGAACCATACTGCTTACTTATTTTGTCATAGTTGAATTAGTGTGTGGAAATATGGGGTAACATATACAAAAACGCAATACCCATAATGCACATTCCAAAAAAAAGAGGTATGATACTTAATATAACTCCATATCTGGAGCACACAAACTCTATATTTTTAGGTCCAAACAAATGTCATAAATCTCTGGTACAGAGAAATATATAGATTAGAAGATCAAGTTGTACAGGAATTGAAAGAATAGTAAAAAAATTTTTTTACTGACCTAAAGTGTCCACAAATATAGCTGTAGGTGTAAGCAGACTTGTAAGATTATTGACTATGTCTTGAAGTTTACTAGTCAGCACTCTGACACTGACAGCTACCTGAAAGTCAACATACTGCAGCGATGAGGATGTGGAGATGGTTCTGTAGAGAATGATGGAAAAATAACTTGTTATCGACATGAAAAAAAAACATTACAGTACAAACAGTAAGTTTTATTTACTGTGCATATCTAATAAATTTTGTCAGTCTCCAAAAGTGTCTAAAACCGACACTATATTACATATTGCAAGGTCTCCAAAAAGTATTTGGACAGTCTCTTTGGAATCCTAAGATTAATCTTTTTCGCAATCACTTTTGTGCACCATGAAATGCAGAAAAGAAAATTAATGAATGCAGTTTTCAAGTGATGTCCCCTCTATTGCCAGGGAACAGCTATTGACACTAGTCATCAGGTATGCACAGAGTTACTGAAATGATGAGAGTTTTACATAGAATTCTCTGGCATGGTTTCAGGGTTTCCCATCTACCAATCAGCTTTGAAGCTCAGGTCTCTGAAACAGCCCTGAAGACATTAGCTAACTCAGGTAGAATCATTTACAAAAAACTCACCTATAATAACTAACAGTTTAGTTGGTGACTATAAGTGGTGTCACAATAATAAGTGATGTTGTTTAAAAAAAATAACATTGACGAAAAACAAACACAAAACCAAAAAGGTAACTTATATAACATATTTCTTTGTAAAATACAGTACCTTGGACCAGTAACGTTCACATACTGAATAGCATTCAGGTTTTGAAATTGGTTTTGAAGCTAAGAAAAGAAAAAGCATGACATCGTTGATATTTTTGTACTATGTAACAATAGAAAACATATTTATATTTATAGTTTATTTATAGAATAGTACAAACGTGAGGATGAGACATACCGTTGTGGTCTTGGTTGAATCCCATGCTGCAGTCTGTACTGATCCATTGATGAAAACTGTGTTCATTGTAAATATTACAGTTTGTTATTACTTTGGGTTTTATTTTGGTTGTCAAAGACAAGCATGCATATCAGCATGGGGACTGCTTTGAATGCACAGACTAGGATATGTTTAGAGAAGCTGCTACATACTCAGACACCGTGGACCTGGAGGAGTACACAATCTCAGTGACCAGCTACATCAGCAAATGCATTGAGGATGTCACTGTCTCCAAGACCGTGATCTGCAAACTATAAACCCTGGTTCTCTGCAAAGCCACGCAACCTGATGAAAATCAGAGACTCTGCCTTTAAGTCCAAAAATAGAGGAACTTACACTACAGCCAGAGCAGATGTATCACAGGCCATCAAAGACGCAAAGCGGCAGTATGCAGATAAGATCAACACACATTTCACAAGTACAAAGGACACTCGGCGAATGTGGCAGGGCATCCAAACAATCATGGGCTACAAGCCAACACCTCCAGCATGCAGCAGGGATCCCTCTCTGCCAAACCAACTAAATGACTTCTTTGCATGTTTTGAGGCAGAGAACAAAGAGCCAGAATAACAACCTGTCTCGCATTAGTCTTCTGAACATTTAGATGGTTGTTAACTTCAGGAAGACCTCAATGGCTCACACTCCACTGCACATCAACGGATCTGCTGTTGAGATGGTCAACAGTGTGAAGTTCCTCGGTGTGCACATCTCAGCTGACCTCTCCTGGAACCTGAACACCACCACCATCATGAAGAAAGCCCAACAACGTCTTCACTTTCTTAGGAAACTGAAGAAGGCCGGTCTCCTTCCTCCTATCCTCACATCATTTTACTGGGGAACCATTGAGAGCATCCTCTGCTGCTACATCACTATCTGGTACGGGAAATGCACCCTCGCTGAAAAGAAGTCTCAGCAGCAAATAGTGAGGAGAACAGAGAGGATCTTTGGAAGCCCTCTCACATCCATCTCCCAACTCTATGACAGACACATCATTCGACGTGCGAACAGCATAGTGAAGGACACTTTCCACTCCTCACATGCACTGTTCTCCCTCCTTCCATCTGGCAGACGGTTTCGCAGCATTAAAACTGTAATGACCAGACACTGCAAGAGCTTCTTCCCCCATTCAGTCATAGCCCTCAACTCACTACCACAAAAGGACTGATATAAACATACACCTCTACAAACACCTTACAATAATCATCAAAAGACTCAAAAACAACAAAAACTACCACAAATCCACTACAAACTGGTCCTGGGAACAATATTCTCATTTGCACACTCAGTCACATACTTCTGAACACACACCTAAATTCTTTAGGTGAAATCTTTACATTTTGCATTTCGTACACGTCTTTGTCATGTCTCATCAATAATATCCTGACAATAGCTTGAAACTGGTATTCAATACCTACTGCACATTCCACTTTGTATTCTCTCAGTCCTGTCTTTGTTTATCTTTGTTTATCGTACAGGTAATATTGTATAGTTACCATTATAGTATTGTATAGAATTGTATAGTTAGTAATTAGTACCTTTTTATCCCTTAATTTTTACCAAAACTTAGCATGTTATTTATTTATAATTCCTAGTTTTATATCTCTTGGATATATATTCTTTATATATTTATAAATGCACCATAGGGGGCTTAGGGTGGAACAGCATTTCAGTACACTGTATACTGTGAATACTACTGTATTGACAATAAAGCTCTTGAATCTTGAAAAAGTAGAAGAGTGAAAAGCAAAGGATAAACATAGCAGTATTCAACAGATTTGTACACCACACTTATTATAGTTTATATTAATTTAGTTTCAACTGGAATCCAAGTACATTTTCTCATTTTAATTTAGGTGTAATTGTTCAAAATGTTCAAGTTGTTACATTACTTTCAGTGTATGCTTTGTTTTTGATTAATTTATTTGTAACATAGGTGCTTTTTTCATGGCAATATTTTGGAAATTCAAAACAGTATCTTAATACTATTCAACAAAACAGACACTGTTGTCAAATTTGACCAAAGACATGTTTGACTATTGTTATATATATATTTTTAAATAAATAATATTGTTTATTTGCAAAAAAAGTACTTCTATTTTTAAGTACTTTTAATGCTTTCAACACTCATTTTAATGCAAATAGTTTAATTTTGCATTAGTTCTCTATAACACTGGTATACACTAAAACTTATTCCATATCATTAATCAACAGAATAGAAAAAATAAAATAAAAATAATAAACAAAAAAACAAACAAAAAAAGAGTTACACATTTCAGGAGATCTACCTTGAACTTTAGGAGAACAGAGGGGTGTGATGTAGGATACATTTTGTTTGCAAGTAGCATCCCCGCAGCAGCTGTAGTTGTAGCACACTTCATTGCTCCAAAGATAATTTGTAGAGCAGTTGCAGTTCGTGTCAGTTCCAACAATGAGGCATTCTAGAAATAAAAGAAAACATTCTTAATTCTCTGAGTTTTTTCTTTTTAGTTTTTTTATTTGAGGGTTAGGGCCACTCTGGATCATCAGAACTGTATGGGAAAATTTGACTGACACCTGCTTTCCTTCATAGTACAACAGTAGACAACATGTAATGTAAAAATATCTTGTCATGGTCCGTGGTCCTGTGTCTAAGGTGTCTGTGTGTGTGTGTGTTGGATGCCCTGGTGGCCACACCCCTGGGCTGGGCCATTACCGGCACACCTGCTTCCCATCCGGGGCGATTACCTGAAGGACTATTTAACCCCGCGCTGACGGATGCTCCACGCCAGTCCATTAATCACCTCTCTGTGGTAACTAGCCTCCCGTGGAAGCGTTGTACAGATGTCTTATTTGAACGGCGTTAACTCTGCCTTCGTGTGTCTAGATTTCGATCCGGCGTCCTGCATCTGCCACCTGCCTGTCCTCCTGCTCGCTTGGAGCACACGGTGCATCACCTGGCCTCATCACCGACTCCACAGATTCCCTTTCCACGGACTTACACACTCCCCTCCCAAGTCCCACGGTCCCCACTCTGATCGTAAGCCAGCTACTCAAACCCTGTCTTGTAGTGTTTCCCTGTTTTCCCGGCTCTCAAGTAATTTTCTCCCCTTTCTGTTGCAGCCTCCCCACGGTCCCGATCTCTGCTTCCCCGCGTCATTTTACATCCCCGAGTTTTTCAGTTCCTCGCTTTCTTCTCTGGTTATCCCGGGTCACCTTTTGATAACATAGTAAAGTGTGTTTTCCTGCTCGCATACGAGTCTGCTTTTTGATCCTTTGGTGCATGCGTGCCTCGGCACATGACAATCTAGCTCTAAAATATACACTGAACAAAAATATAAAAACAACACTATTGTTTTTGCTCCCATTTTTCACGAGCTGAACTCAAACATCTGAAAATTTTTCTACATACACAAGAGACCCATGACTGTCAAATATTATTGTCAAATCTTTATAAATCTGTGTTAGTGAGCAATTTTCCATTACAAAGATAATCCATCCCACCTCACAGGTTTGGCATATCAAAGGGCTGATTAGACAGCATGGATATTGCACAGGTGTACCTTAGACTGGCCACAATAAAAGGCCACCCTGAAATGTGCAGTTTAATCAAACAGCACAATGCCACAGATGCCGCAACCTTTGAAGAAGCGTGCAATTGGCATGCTAACTGCAGGAATGTATACCAGACTTGTTGCCCGTGAAATTAATGTTCATTTCCCTACCATTTGCCGTCTCCAATAGTGATGGGTACCGGTGTCCGGTTCCATGATGGCACCGGTTCTGACATAAACGGTAGTAACCAGACCGAAAAGCAGCGCACATTTCGGTGCTTTATTTCGGTGCTTTTTTTTTTTCCTGAGATGTCATACACTTTAGATTCTAGCCAATCCGTTGGGCATCTTTCTTTGCCTTTAGACAACAATTCTGATGGCAAAAGAGCCAAACGGGACAGGCAAAAAAACAAACAAAAAAACAAAAAACACTAGTGACAGTGTGAAAAAGGCTAATAGATGTTATGATGAATTGAAGCTGAAGTACTGCATGTGCTCGTGTTTATACTAATTTAGGAAATTAACTGAACAGAGCAAGAAAGACTCTGGAACAACTTGCTCAGAGTCTGATTGGGGAATAATAATTTTCTGCACATACCACGAGAAAAATGAGCATTTGGTCAAAGTCCAGGTTGCTAATGCAGAACACATTTTGCATAAGAACATCTAAAGTAATGTAAAAATGCCTGTTTTTAAGGGACCGCCGTTTAACCTCAGCGTGTTAAGAGGGCTCGCTAAGCTTGAGTCTGTAATCTTTAAAAACAGTAGAGGCTTTATGTATCCATGGTAATGTTATAACACATACACTGTGTGGATATTGTTTTTACAATTTTTTTTATAAATTAGTGTGAAAATGAAAATCACTAAAATGACCATTTAAAGGTAATTTTTTAAACACACATCTACATCCCACTTCTGGTTTGGCAGAATCTGCAGATGCAGCTTGTAGCAATGCTCATGCAAATTCAGACCACACACCATTACTTCCACAGGCATGCTGAAATGATCTGTATGTAAACATGCCATGTTTTTTCTTGCAGTTTCAGTACAAAACAATCCAAGGCCTAAAAACTCTGTTTGCATTAGGAGTGTGTGTGTTATTTTGATAGTCTTGTGTCTCCTGTGCTTTGTATCGGCTTTTACTTCCCCTGTCTCATTTCCTGATTTGTTGCAGCTGTCTTCCTTGGTGTTTCCCATCTTCCTAATTATCTGGTGTGTATTTAAATTCTCAGCTTCCTTATGCTCTTTGTTATGTCCTCTCTTGCAGTTTTTTTTTTGTTGAGTAGTTGTTGATTTGGTTTCCTTGTTCCTGTACCTGCATTATTTTGTATTATGATTAAAGGAAATGGGAAGTAAGTAATGAAACTGCTTGCAAGTTTATTTCTTACTTTCCAAGTCCTGTGTTCCTGCCTGCTTGCCAGAATGGCAGGCAGGAGTCTGACCTCATAATTAGTTTGTGGGTTACTATGTTTTTTGTCCGTTGTTTTTTCTGTTGTTGTTGTTTTTTTGTTGTTGTTTTTTAACCCTGCAGTAGTTTTATGATTTAAGCTTTCTTTGTGTATTAAAGTCACCAGTGACCATCAAAAAAAAAAAAAAAAAAAAAAAAAAGATTCTAGCCAATCATTTTACGTTTCCGAGGATAGTAGGCGGGGCCAGGTACGTACGTTCTTTTAGAGCAGAGCTACAGATTAAAAATGTCCCAAGGCGAAGCGGTCAAAAGTCTGGCTGTACTTCACAGCAAAATATGCAAACTCAGCAGCCTGCAACAAGTGCTTTAAGCTGATACTGTCAAAGGAGGTAACACCTCAAATCCGATGAAACACCTGGCGACGCATAGCGTTTTTTTTTAAAAGCCCAGAAATGCGCCGTATTGATAGCTTGCTGCGAGACCTCACACCGAGCACATCTACTGTGCGTGTGGTTGCCTGTTATCGGACCCGGAGTTAGCAACATCCCCCAAAAACCCGAAGAGGAGAGTCCTGGCCCCTAGCCCTGCCAGTGTAGCAGAAATGATGAGTGATGGCAGCAGCAGCCGTTCTTCTCTGCGTGAGTAGCTTAATGTTGTTCATGTGTAATTTACGTTGAGTAGGCTAACCACGTTATTACATTAATGCATGTAAGGTGAACTAGCAAACACCATCATAGCTACATGCGGCTGTCTTCTTGTTTGATGGCAGATACTCCCTTCACCCTGGCCAAAAAGGCTAAAATGATCAAAGAAAAAGAGGGAAACAGATAAACATGAGAGGCTTTTGGACAAAGTTTGTGTTTTTTCCATTGATTAAGCACTGCTTCCAGCTAAGAGTGATACCATATATGCCCCATAGCTGCAGAAAAGGCTAACTTTGTTATCTTTTTACAAAAAACCAGCTGAACATGAGAGGTTTTGGGACCAATTTTGTGTTCTCCATTCTTTAAGCACCGGTTTGAGCACCGTTTGAGCACCGGCACCGTTTCAAAAGTACCGGTTTGGCACCGGTATCGGATAAAACCTAAACGATACCCATCCCTAGTCTCCAAAGACGTTTCAGAGAATTTGGCAGTACATCCAACTGGCCTCACAACTGCAGATCATGTGTAACCACACCAGGCCAGGACCTTCACATCCAGCATGTTCACCTCCAGGATTGCGTGAGACCAGCCACACGGACAGCTGCAGCAACAATCGGTTTGCATAACCAAAGAATTTCTGCACAAACTGTCAGAAACCATCTCAGGGAAGCTTATCTGCATGTTTGTCGTGCTCATTGGGGTTTGAACCTCACTGCAGTTCGTCGTTGTAACTGACTTGAGTTGACAAACACTCAAATTCAGTGGCATCTGGCACGTTGGAGAGGTGTTTTGTTCACAGATGAGTCCCGGTTTTTACTGTTTAGGGCAGATGGCAGACAGCGTGTGTGGGTGAGCGGTTTGCTGATGTCAACATTGTGGATCAGGTGGCCCATGGTGGTGGTGGGGTTCTGGTATGGGCAGGCGTATGTTATGGACAATGAACACAGGTGCATTTTATTGATGGCATTTTGAATGCACAGAGGTACCGTGACGAGATCCTGAGGCCTATTGTTGTGCCACTCATCCACGACCATCACCTCATGTTGCAGCATGATAACGCATGGCCCCATATTGCAAGGATCTGTACACAATTGCTGGAAGCTGAAAACATCCCAGTTCTTGCATGACCAGCATACTCACTGGACATGTCACCCATTGAGCATGTTTGGGATGCTCTGGATTGGTGTATACGACAGCGTGTTCCAGTTTCTACCAATATTCAGCAACTTCACACAGCTATCGAAGAGGAGTGGATCAACATTCCACAGGCCATGATCAACAACCTGATCAACTCTATGCGATGAAGATGTGTTGCCCTGCATAAGGCAAATGGTGGGCACACCAGATGCTGACTGATTTCCCCCCCCATAAAGCAAAACTGTGCACGTTTCACAGTGGCCTGTTATTGTGGGCAGTCTAAGGCACAACTGAACATTATTTACGCTGTCTAATCAGTAGTGATGTGTGGATCGATCCTGAAATATCGATTCCTCCGATACCAGTCATTTATGTTCTAGAATCGATTCTCACATTAAAAATATTGATATTTTATTAATTTAGAGTAAATTTGTAGTTTATCATTAACAGTAACAGAGTGGAAAGAAACTATAACATTCAGATTGTCTACATCCAAAGGAACTACTTCCTCTTCCGCCTTTCATAGTCATGTGCGAAATACGGCTGTATAAATGTCTCGCAGCCCCTTGGCGTGCGCAGCTGAGCGTAATTGGAGTCATGTGCGGACGTATTTTACCTCCACAAACAGCTGAGACGTGGTTTGCGATACATGTGGCAAAAAAGTGAGGTGTTGTGGCCATACTAGAGAGACATTCAAAAGGGCTGTTGGGGGGTGATAAATACATTTTACAGGGTTTATTTATCGGATAAAGTACATTAAATGTCATCGTTTTTATTATCGGGTTGGAAACAGCGGTGGTGTCCAAATTCAGAGGCTGCTTCGCGGTCTAAAGAAAGCCGGGTAGTACGTCATGAGCTCCCTCGGTGGAGTGAAACTCTGCTGTCTGCTCCTTGCTATCTGAAATATAACCGGGTGCTTGCGTAAACTCTGGACTGTCTCACACTTTGTTTAATTAGTTTTCTTTTTGACGTTTATTTAGCTGTGTGAAAACCCCGGAGGAACCCTCCCGAGGATTAATAAAGTTTAATTTAATCTAATCTAATAACTTTAATCTCAGCCAAACCGATTTACTCACGAACAAATAAAACACTGAAAAAGCCAAACAATAACATTTTTAAGTTATCAAAGTGACTTATATATCATGTTTAACCCGAGTAGTGAAAGACCGCGGGGGTTTGAAGACGATGTGTCGGTCGGCTCAGATATTTGACGTTTACAGAGCTACATTCTCATTCTTGAGGCGAACTGAAAAGGAGAAGAGGACAGGTGCTGCTAGGGCGAGACAGACGTCTCTCACAGAGTCCTTTAGTGCTGCAGGCAGGCAAGGTGTTCAAATAGCACAACTTCAGTTTTTTTATTTCTATATGATGAACTCTGCATTATTAAGTGATAAGAACAAGTAATCTGATGTCCTGTAATCATTATGATGCTATAATTTGAGATACAATAAATAAAATACGTTTTTGTACAAAGTATCGGTATCGGATCAGTATCGTCGATACCACCCTGAATATTACTTGGTATCGGATCGGAAAGGAAATCAGTGGTATTGCACATCACTACTAATCAGACCCTTGATATGCCACACCTGTGAGGTGGGATGGATTATCTTTGTAAAGGAAAAGTGCTCACTAACACATATTTATAAAGATTTGAGAACAATATTTGAGAGTCATGGGTCTTTTGTGTATGTAGAATAATTTTCAGATGTTTGCGTTCGGCTCATGAAAAATGTGAGCAAAAACAAGTATTGCGCTTATATATTTTTCCGTGCATTTATTCATCAATCTAAACTAGTAATCTCACATGAGTTTAGTAGAACTGACAAATGAGCACTTCCTGACAAAACCTGAAACAGTGCACATTGGTAATATTCTTTTATTAAAACAGAGTCCAGTCCAATAGTTTTGACTCTTGTAAGAAAAACATCAGTTATAGACAAATTGCAGTTAATATTACTGCAGCTCTGTTATGTTGAAGATAATGTTTAAGTAATCACAGCCTGATGATCCTTTTTTTTAAAAGGTTAGATTACACAATTTTATTTACTTGGGGATGCAATAATAACAGCTCTTCACACAACCCTCACACACCTGGACATTA